TAAAAAAAAAATATAATTAGGCCATTTATTCTTAGGTTGTATTAAGAAATACCTTTTATTTTTTTTACAAGAAATACTTATTGTGTTATCTTTTATTTTTTTTTACAAGAAACATATAATACTTGTTGATTATCTTTTTTTTTTTTTTGACAAAAGAAGAAGATGTTGTACTACTTTTTTTTTTGCTTGTTGTATTACTTTTTATTTTATTTTACGAGAAAAATAAAAGAATGATGCTGCCAAAGTGTATTTTATTTTTTTATGCCTTTTGTTTTATTTTTTTGCAAGAAATACTTGTTATATTATCTTATATTTTTTTTACAAGAAAAATAAAAAAATATTGTATTATATGTTTTATCTTTATCTTGAAAAGCCTTTTATATTTTATCTTTTCTATTTTTTTACCACAGTATTTTTTGCTTTTGTTTATTTTTGTTGTCAAAAAAAAAATTTATGCCTTTTGTTTTATTTTTTTGCAAGAAATACTTTTTATATTACCTTGTATTTTTTTTACAAGAAAAATAAAAAAATGTTATATTATATTTTTTATCTTTATCTTGAAAAGCTTTTTATTTTTTATTTTTTAAGCTTTTTTTGCAACAAGAAAAGCTTTTAATTTTTTCTATTTTATTTCAAGCTTTTTATTCATTATCTTAAAGACCTTTTTATTTTTTATCTTTATCTTTATTTTTTATCTTTATCTTAAAAAAATGTCGTATTATAAACGACGACGCGTGGGGTTCGCCCGTCAAAAATTCAAGATTGTGAACCAACACTACCACATCGCCTGATGTAATTCATTAGCTTCTATAATATAATACATATTCAATCATCTTGCTTGAATGATTTTTTGTGAAAATTATCCCATATCGAAGGATAAATAACCCTTTGTTCTCTATAAAGAGTTGTGTACTAATCAATCAGCTGTGCGTGTAAAAAAACGAGGGGGGCATACGAGTGAGGTGAATTACCACGTGTGGAGGATTTTTAAGTGCTACGTGTGCCATGTGTTGCTCTCGTGAGGCGGCCACGTGTAAACCCAAAAATTTTCGGTGAGACTTGCAATTTACTCTTGAGAATCGCCCAGAATTAGGCGATTCTCGATATTTTCGTGAAACCGGCTTAGTAGCAGACAACTCCCAAGTCGAACCGAGCGAATCGAGCCGGGGCGATTCTCGATATTTTCGTGAAACGGCCTCAGTAGCGGACGATTCCCAAGTCGAATTGGACGAACCCGACTCGACTCGGCAAATTTTCAAACCCTGCTCTAATCAATATAAAGACCAAAGAATTTGTGGTTCAAAAAAGAGAGAGAGTGCGCTGAACTTAAAGTGAGGGGAGGTAAAAAGCATTTTTAAAAAGAACGGGTAAAAATACTCCAATACACCATATAAATGTATATAAAATGCCCAAGATCATTCCTCAATTTTGAATGATTATTTGAAACAACTTACAAGAAATAAACATGTTATCTTTAAATTGGACCTTATGCTCTAGCTAAAACCATCCCATTCAAATAAAGCCCCACATAAGGGTCTAAATCTGATGCGTATATTAGCAACATCGGCACACACTTTCATCATTTCAAAACCTACTTGAAGCTCCAAGATCCGCATAGAGATAAAGTATCTCCCTTTCACTCTTGCTTTTGCTTTATTTGCGGAGCCTTTATTGAGAACGGAAGCTGCAAATATCAATTCATCTTGCAGGACCAGCTCCGTTGGTTTTGCACATGATATTCCGTCCCATTCGACTCCATTAAGGATCTTCACATGCATTTTGGTGGAGCGTGGATGCACGAAACGAGAGCTAATGCAGCAGCTTTTTTAAGCCATTGCACCCCTAAGGCTCGTGCGCTCCTCACTTGGAAGGGCAGGGGTGGGCCCTCTGCCACCCCTTTATAATAAAATAAATATAAAAAAAAAAGAGTATCGCACATAAAACTGCCAAATATTCACCGTAGACTTTCAAATAAACTAGTGGCCAAAGAAATATTTGGAGTGCCAAAGTTTTCTTTGACTTCCAACACTGAAAATCAGAACAGAAAATTTGGACCGCTTTGTCTGAAGGAACGTAAGAACTTCTTCAGCTAAAAAAATTGGTAGAACAAAGTTTACTTCCATCCACCCCCTGCATTACAACCAAAGCTTTGCATGATACATACGGACCTTCCCAAAGTTTAATGGACAAACTGAATTTGGATATTTGTGCTTCACGAATATCTAGACTTAATTTTCATTAATCATAATATAATAAAGTATGTGAAGCAACCTCAATTAAGTCGAGAGTCCAGATAGACAAATGAGACGTACATGTGATCTTTCCAAATGTCTCTATTCAAGGTTACATGGAAACTGTTTAAACCAAAATATCTAAGAATCTCATAATCCATGAAAGATCCATGTGGTAATGGAAACAGACAGTACCTAGTTGTCCTTAAGCTTTGATAGGTAAGGACAGGCAAATAGGTTCACCACATAGCTGGCTTACTTCTGATTCTAGAAGATGCAACAAATTGGCCAGGGTCCGCCTGTAGACCCATGCTTGACTCATCCGATCCCAATCAAACCTAGATGGTCCACTGTGTAAGAAAAGCACAATGAGTAGACCATGTAAAGCTTCACAAACATAGATCAAACATTTTGTATCCGCAATGTACACTACAAGAGTAACTGTCATGTGTGTAACCAACAGAAAATTAGAATATGATATGACCAAAACACAACCAGAAATTTCTGTCTGAACCATGCTAGCTATTAAATAACTGAAAGATGAGAAATATTTAATTTCCAAAAGAAAAAACAAAAAGAAAGATGTGCAATATTCAAATGTGTATGACAATCCAAAAACAGCCACCATGGGACAACTAGAAAAATATTGGGGGATTGCAATTGGCACCCAAGTTTCTGCTAGTCCCACAAAAAAATGGATGATGATTCCAAGCCAGTTTGCATTTGTTATTTTTCATGACCACGCTTTGGGTGGAACAAAGAAACCACTTCTTGAAGAACTGCAAACATACCCTGACATGAATATGTATGGAATGTTGTAGAACAACAAAAATAACCCACATATTCAGCACGCCATGCAAACAAGGAAAAAAATAAATCGCCAGTCATATCCTAATTTACCCGGCATGAGTGCGCACACACACATGTATAACCCATATTGGTTTTTCTGTAGTTACACTCCTTACAATACTAAAAGTTACATTTAGAACAGGGTGTGAACAATTGAATTCCTTTAGTGGTCCCTTTTTTTAATCAAATGCCAATAAAATAATGGTGTTATCGTCATTCAAAAGGCATGATATTTTTACTAAAAGACAAAGGGTACTTTACATTTTGAGGGCATTTTTTATTTTTATTTTTTCAACAAAAGAAATTTATATCATTAAACCACCTAGAGTTTCAATCTTTAACTACCCTTGTCTTGTAGCGAAAATATCAATTATACCTTTTCGATAAAGAAAAATACCGATATTCATTTTATAAGCATGGAATAAAGAAATAGGTAACTAAAGTAAGTTAACACTTCATTCGCCATACTAAATGTGGGGTAGGGGATTTGCGGGGGGTTAATCATAGACACTATATATATATATATAGGAAAAGATATGGTGTGCACCCTAGTGTAGATAAGCTAAATGCGCCAACGGCCCAGATTGAATCTGGGCCAATCTGACAATCATGGTTGCCCGGTAGTGTCCAGTAGTGTTTGAATTTTAATTTTTTTCTACAAATCCAAGTTACTTGAGATTTTAAGCGTATGTTCTTCAAAAATAGGTGAATCTACGAAAAATATTAAAAAAATATTTTACATAAAAAAATTGACCAAAATAACCCTACAAAGTTTC